AAAAAAAAAAAACAAGTAAGAAAGCTCTAGTCGAGACTGCTCGACTACGAGATCCCCTGAACCCTTGGAGTGCTAGCTATTTCAATAATTTTTCGCGTCTTTCAGCTTACACAAGAAACACACACACATACACAAACACATACACACACAAGCACCCACGCATAAACACGCATGGGCTGCAGTGTGCGCTTACTATGAGAACTTAATTGTTTAATAACTTTTTTTGTGGACGTACGATCTTCATGAAACTTTCAGATTATGATTATAACATGAATATGCATGTAATTGCCAAAGCACAAGTCTCTAGTATTTGAAATACGCGTTTTACAAAAGTGAGGGTGAGGGGGTGAATTTAGAGGTGGGGGGTAAATTTTAACAAAAACCGAAATTGTATAAATTGCATATAAGCATATATAAAAAATTTGGAGACTCTAGCAATAAAGGTGTAGAAGATATAATTTTATAACTGGTTTTCGATAAGGTTTTTCATCGATAAAAAAAGATCGGGATGAGTTATCGAATTTTAATGATAAACTCGATATCCGCGCTGTAATTACGAACATTTTACAAAAAATTTGAAGTCTCTAGCTCTTATATCTTCGGAAATCGACGCGTTCAAACATACGGACAGACGGACAGACGGACAGACGGACAGACGGACAGACAGACAGACGGACAGGGCCAAATCAACTCAGCTCGTCACCCTGATCAAGAATATATATACTTTGTGGGGTCTGCCACGCCTCCTTCTGCCTGTTACATACATTTCAACAAAACCATTATACCCTGATTTCCCATTTTCAATGGGTTCAGGGTATAAAAATAAACAAATAAATAAATATAAGAAGAAGATATATATAGAGCTATTATAATGAATACGAACTGTTTGAATCACTTACATAATAATAAATCATTCATACAAAGTTTAAATCATTAAATTATGAAGTTTATACAGCTAAAAAGTATATGTCTAAACGTTGTCAATAAATACACGAATAATTAATTTAAACTTAATGAGTTTACGAACTTTGTGGACCTCAAGTCGCATTTTGTATGGAATTCTGTAATTATACTTTTATATTGGCTTTAAATCTGTAAATACGAGAACCTGTCCAATATTAGTGGGTAGAGAGCTCATTAGTGATTGGAGTTGAGGTTCCATTGGCAATATTCTAATACTCTTTAAATCTACATATGACCGCAGTCCAAAGATCATCTATGGGCCACAACATGTTGCACAGACTTATGAAACAGCCGAGATATAGAATGACTAATGAGTTAAAAGCCAGACAACGCATGTGTAAATGAAGATAATATGCAAAAACAATCTCTTATCTATCTATGTATAACATGAAAGAACATCGTTTCATGAGAGATTCCTATGGTGATTAGATTACATTTGACGTATACACTACTCTATTTGCTTTGTGTAGAAAAGCACTGGAGAGCCATGAGCAATCATATTTGTCGAGCAGCATAAACAGTGGCTTTATTTGCGGGAATGCCTTGGTGATTCGTTCGCCTCTAGTTTGCTGAGCAAAGTCTTCAGCCACAAAGTCAGTTGGGAGAATATTCTGTTGAGGAATTTTCGAGGCAATCTCAGTGAGAGGCAGGTGCTCATCTCAATGAGTCAAAACGGATGTCTAATGATGTCAACTCTTCATATTTGACGACAGGCAACAAGGTATCAGCTTTCACATAGGAATCTCAAAATTGAGCTATGCAGGATATGCAAACCGAATTTGAAATGGTTGAACAATCTATGATTATAAATAAACATATATGTATGTGTGATTTAAACACATAATAAACTATATTGCAATTTAAAATATATATTTAGAGTACACATAAATGCTAAGCACAGAAGCAATTGAAGACATAGAATACATATATTGAAAAAGTTTTTCAATTTGAGTTAAGCTTTTATTTCACATTCAAAGATATTCCACACACATATACAAA